AGGAATCTACTCCTGAAATCATTGTTGCGCTATATGCTAACTAAAATGGATGTAAATTAAAAAAAGAAAAGAAAAGGCTTGGGAAGAGCCTTCAGTAGGCTTTTTACTTATTTAAGGTATACTCATTCTGTTATGGAAAGCTTAAAATGTGATGTCAGTTTTATTTTTGAAAAATGGGTTCCAAATGATACCCCTTGTCTATGCTGTCTCCCCTTATCTAGACTGATTTTAGTCTTCACCTTTACAGAAGAGCAAACTCCAATTTGCTTTCAATTTGTCTGTGACTTAAACCTTGGATGCTGGAATTCACAAAGAAGGCTGCTATTTCACTCATTACATTACATAAGAACTCCCCCTGACAGCAGGAAACTACCTCAATTCACACAATTGGCTCAAAGCTGCTAATACCTATCATTAATCGCAGCATCCTGAATTATGTTGCACACAATAGTGAAGACAACCCAAAATTACCTATCATAAACAAAATCTGGGCCAAAAAACCCCCCACAAAAGCTTGGAGAAGCTAAATGTGTCTGCCTCCCAGAGGGCATCGTCTGACTCCAGGGGAAATGTTTCAAGAGACACTGAGTGAGGCCTTGAACGTCTGAAGGTGTGCAGGACCAGTGCAAGAGATAGATATTGGCCTTCAACCACGTTAAAAGTGGCACAATGTCTGGAGGAAGTGCCCTGAAACAGCTCAGGACCCTGGGATGAGGTTCTGCGTGAGCTCCCAGGCCAGTCTATGCAAGCTAAATCGGAGAGGCAAAGAACTACGAGGCTAGTAGTTCAAACTGCAAACCAGAAATGAAAAAAAACAAATTCTTTTTTTTTAATTTAGGTAGTAACCTAAATTGTTTTTGGAAGTCTGAAGTTTGGGTTGTAAATGCTGAAAAACACTGCCATAGTCATTTTAAATGATTCAAATCTTATTAACTGCTGCAAAAACTTAAGGCTTAAGTGAAACACAGAATGTGCAAAGGTATATACAAATCATCTCAATTGTATTAAAAAGGAAAAAAAAGGAAAGTTAATATAATATAGCAACAACTACTGCCACTAATATGATTGATCCGCTTACAATGACCAGAATGTATTCTTTTTACCTATTTGTTACAATTTATTTCATCGTTATGATAACCTTATGAGGGAAGTATTGATGCATTTTACAGATGAGAAAATTGAGGACAGAAAAATGAGGACATTTGTACAAAGATACTCTGTTGGTACCGAGAAACACTGGCAATCAAACCCAGGGAGTCCAACACTACAACTCATGGTCTGTGCTGTTCCTAAACCAGTAATATAGCAATAATGGTCACTGCAGTGATGGAAGATTATGTATGATTTTTTAAAATCAATTCTGTATTATGAGATAATTACAGATTAACCTGTAGTTATAAGAAAGAACAAAGAGGGATCCTACATGCCCTTTACCCAGATTCCCCCAATGGTAACATCTTATAAAACTATAGTACAATGTCACTATGGAATACCAACTGATAGCCACAAGTCAAGACACAAAACAATTCCAACATCACAAGGATCTCTCATGTTACTCTTTTCTTTTAAAAATGTTTATTTACTTATTTTGAGAGAGAGAGACAGAGCGAGAGAGAGAGAGAGAGAGAGACAGAGAGAGAGACAGAGAGACAGAGCATGAGCCGGGGAGGGGCAGAGAGAGAGGGAGACAGAGAATCCCAAGCAGGCTCTGAGCTGCCAGTGCTGAGCCCGATGTGAAGCTCGATCCCATGAACTGAACCATGAGATCATGACCTGAACCGAAATCACGAGTCAGATGCTTAATGGACTGAGCCACCCAGGCACCCCTCTCATGTTACTCTTTTATAGCCATATCTGGTTCCCTTCTAATCTCTGCCCCGAAAACCCTTTTTAAGTCCTTGGCAACTGTTAATCTCATGTTGTCCACATGTATAGTGATGTCATTGCAAAAATGCTCTAAAAATGGAATCAGACAGTATGTAATCTTTGAGGATTGCTATTTTTCATTCATTCTCATCAAGGTTGTTGTATATATCAATAATAACTTTTTTTTTTCAACATTTATTTATTTTTGGGACAGAGAGAGACAGAGCATGAATGGGGGGAGGGGCAGAGAGAGAGGGAGACACAGAATCAGAAACAGGCTCCAGGCTCTGAGCCATCAGCCCAGAGCCCGACACGGGGCTCGAACTCACAGACCGCGAGATCGTGACCTGGCTGAAGTCGGGCGCTTAACCGACTGCGCCACTCAGGCGCCCCCAATAATAACTTATTTTTAATGCTGAGTAGTATTCCATGGCATGAATGTACCAGAGTTTAATCACTGAAAGACATCGAGCTTATTTCCAGTTGTTGGTTATTTAGGAGAAATCTACTATAAATATACATGTCCAGGTTTTTCTGTAAATATAAGTGTTCACTTCTTTGGCCAAATGTGCAATTGCTGGGTCATATGGTAGTTGCATGTTTACTCTTATAAGAAACTGCAGCCACTGTGAAAATCACTGTGGAGGTTCCTCAGAAAGTTAAAAAGCACCACTAAGCAACTGCACTACTAGATGCTGAGCCAAAGAATACAAAAATACTCATTCAAAGGAGCACATGTACCTCGATATTTATAGCAGCATTATCAAAAACAGCCATAGTATGGAAAGAGCCCAAAAGCCCATCGAATGATGAATGGATAAAGAAGTGGGGTGTGTGTGTGTGTGTGTGTGTGTGTGTGTGTGTGTGTGCGTGTGTGTGTGTGTGTGTGTATAATGGAATATTACTCAGCCATCAAAGGGAATGAAATCTTGCCATATGCAACGCCGTGGATGGAACTAGAGGGTATTATGCTAAGAGAAATAAGTCAGTTAGAGAAAAGTCAAATACCATATGATTTCACTTCTATGTGGAATTTAAGAAACAAAACAGATAAGGGAAGGGGGGGAAAAAAGAGAGGGCGGCCATAAAAGACTTCTAACTATAGAGGACAAACTGAGGGTTGCTGGAGGGGAGGTCAGCAGGTCATGTGGTAAATGGGTGATGAGCATTAAGGTGGGCACTTGTTGTGATGAGTACTGGGTGTTATACTAAGTGATGAATCATTAATTCTACTCCTAAAACCAGTATTACACTACATGGGAACTAACTAGAATTTAAATACTTATAAAAATAAAATAAAAACGTATTGACGATTTAAAAAAAAGAAACCACCCAACGGCCTTCTAGAACGCCATCCAGTTTTACACGGCCACCAGCAATGATCTAGTTTCTCTGCATCTGTGCCATCATTTACCTTCTTACTATTTTTTATTTTAGCCATCCTAACAGGTATGTAATGATATCTTTCTGGGTTTAATTTGCATCTCCCTCATGGCTAATGATGGTGA